ACCCTTCCTACTTATATACATAAGACTATACATATACATATATATATATATATATATATATATATATATATATAAAGGGCAGATGAATCTTTAGAGAAAGCTTCATATACAATTTATTTAACAGTATTGACATAACAAAATTAAAATCTTCAGGAACTGAAAAGTTCATACAATACACTTTGATTTATCTGATCCTCATAAAAATTGCATTCCCCATGGGATCGTTATCATCCTCCATCATTGGACAGGTATCAATTTCTGTCGTAGGATCGAGTTGTGTTGTTTCATGAAATGATTACACCAACTCTGATGAGCAATAAAGTTAGAAATATTTCTCTTCTTCGTCCATGCCTTAGCTTGTAGTATAATTTGATTTCTTGTTACAATCGGACCAAACTTGCAATTTTCATCAACCCATTTCACGAGGTCTGTTTCTAGTTCAGGCTAGAAACCATTTTATTGTTCCCGAGCAGCACACTTTGTTCCTGACAGATTTTGAATTTTTCCCTATTTGTTTTCATCAATTGTGGATGAGTTTTTCATTTACACTAAATTCCCTACTTGCAGCACAGCTGTTTGTCTTTTCAGCAAATTTCATGACTTGTAATTTGAATTTTACTTCGTATCTCATACATTTTGGAAGCATTTTGACATTGAGCTGTTGAATATATCACCCGAAATGACAACTAGAATGCACATTGCAACCTTTATAAAGTCATTTCCTATAATTTCAAACAAAAGCTCTGCATGAAGAGTATTGTTTGGTGTGTCTAGGTAGATTGATTCACTTGATCTTGAGGCTTCACTGATGATCAAGAACATTTTTCTACATTTTTTGTATCTTTTGTATAAATCGAGTCTCCTTTCTTGGAATAACATTCTGTCATAAGAAAAAAAAAATTATATGTCATGATATACTGTGTATTGAATATAGGTTATGTTATAAAGTCAGCTCTTATATTATTGAAATAATTTTCTAATACAAATACATCTTGTCTTTACTTGACAGTGTTTAACTTTTCTTAAATTATGACACTGCAAGTTTAAAAAAAACTGACACAAAAAAACTATTATCTAGAATTTATGAGTAGACTGAAAACTCAGAGTTGATAGATTTAGATATAAGTTCTAACTTATTGTCTGTTACAGTAGTACTTGAAGTCTCAGTAAATAAGTTTAGGTTGTGTTTGAGCTTTATTAGTTTTTTTATGCATCAAGAATACACACAGAACTTTCTTTTTCCACATGAGTTTATTTTTATTGTAAATGAAATTTATAGACATGTTATTTCACTCAATTGTTAAAGCTCTGCAAACCTCAAACATCAAGATGTTGCTAGCATTTCTTTATTTGCATCTCAAATGCAGTTTTAGCAATAATTTAGAATTAAGAAAACTTAATGTCTCATCAGATGCTTTTTCCATAGGTAATGTATGAAGCACAGACATTCATAACTTCTTTTTTGTCTTTGTCCTTGAAACAGTGAAAACTCTCACTGCTCGTCTGATTAACGTACTTGTTATTCAAACTAATTTAAATATTGAGTCATTTATTTGAAAAACTACCAGAAATTAGGGCTAACACCCTGTAAGCTGTGAACTTTTTTAGTAAACTTTTTTTAAGCTCCTAATTCTGATAGTTAAAAGTTTTCCCATTTTGTTTTTATTAATTATTTGTTTACAGCTGTTCCTGTAATTTTTCTTTAAGTAAGGATAGTGGTATTGCCACATCTTAGCAAAAGATTTCATATTGTAATAATAGGATAATTTAGCAAATTCTGTTTTATCCATTATGTAAAAAACTTTCAGATGGGTTGGTATTAGATTAATGCATAAAATATACCTACAGACTTTACAAAAAAACAAAAAACATGATGTTTCATTGTTCAGATACTGAACATTTCATGAGAATCATTCAACCTTACTTCAACCATTTAGATAGCTTTTCTATATTTCCATGAAAAATTTTAAACTACTCTAGTCATTATGAAGTTTAATGTTAATGGTTCAAAGTTCAAACATTTGTTCCATACAGCAATATTTGACAGTGTAATAGCAATGTTTTACACACACAGGAGTAAGACAATTACATTTTTTTAAACTTCTCACTAGTTTCTACTGAGGAAAAATAGTTGAATAATTTCATTATAAATAAATTTATTTTGGAATTAATTTGTGTTAGTTTTGATTGTCAATTGTAGAACCTTACTTCTGGCAATTCTTTCATTTGCCATTAACTACTGCTAGATTTGATTGTAAACACTTGTTGCTTTTATGTACTATTTCATTCAATAATTCTGTTATTTTGACATTGTATTTAGTTAGTTGGTATCATATTAGCTTGGTTGTTGTCCTTAACTCTTTCAGCACGGGCTTGGTCCCTGGGACTGACCTCATAACCATTTCGTGCTTGTTATAGTTTTCATGCTATAACATTTAAATTAGTAAGCGAATGTTAACGAAATTTGGCATATTATCAGTAAACATTACAATGCTTTCATATGCAAAATATCAGTTTTTTTTATTAAGTCTTAAGGTTTGTATAACAATGTTTTTCTTAGGCCTTTTTTTTTTTCTTTTCACATGTTGCCTATTTATCATATAAAGTAATTTTCATTTTAAGATTAAAAATACTTTTATGCATTAGAAAATGGAAAGAGGTAGGTGGGGTGCCACT